TTTCACGGCTAATAAGAGTGTCATGGTTGCATGGTAGGAGCCGTGTATTAATCAATTTCAACCACACTTGCGCTTTTGCCTTCATTTTCTTCTTAGGTAATTTCCTATGGCGATTGGTTTTCTTGTCCCGCACCCAAGCCGCCACAAAATTGACACCACAAAGAGTGTGTCTCAGCTCTTGATATGTAGGATGGGTGATGAAATTGTCCAAGCGTTCCTGGGGAACATCCAGCGCACCTAAGAAATTGCATATTGCCGAGGCTGAAAAATCGATCAACCTTCCTCGAATAGGCACCAGCTGCTCAGGATCCTTTGGATCAAAACCGGCATAAAACTCCCGAACAAGGTTGACATTTATATCCCCGGTGTTCCTAAACACATAGCTCAACCCAAGATTATGAATAATTTCTAGATTTCTTGATACTTGGCTTTTAGGCGACACTCATGAACAACTGCCTCAGGATGTATATGTATCGGCTGACAACGCTTGTACCGGTCCTTGACATTTGGGGGTATGCTCTTAAGACCAAATTCTCGCTGTCCCTCAGGTTGTGTGCAAGTGGCTGCTATAGCTGTAACTGCTTGCAATCCTTCAACCTGACTTGAAGTAGCTTCTCCTCATTTTCTCTTTTTCGATGGAGGTGCGGAGGGGGCCTTACCCTTGGACAGAGCAGTGGCTTTGCCCTTGCCTTTACCAGTGTCCTTTGGAGGCATGTTCCTACCTACACAAGTGAACCTTAGTCAGTTTTAGATGCATTGCAACATTTCAAAACATGGTTTTGCGACCCTACACTAAGAGTTCATCACATGATGTTCCACAATTTCTAAGGCTACTCAGACTTTACCTCGTTATTTTCGCATGAGAATCAAGCAAGGACACAAGGATGTTTTCTACAATTTCGAAGCATCGGGCTACCGGTGAGCTACCCCACACTTAAAATTTAAAGTGGTGCGCGGCACCATAGCACTAGTATTACAATCCCGGAGACTCGGGCTCCAATGGGGACACAGAATGCCTTTGAGGCATTTTGACAAACACTTAGCATGCATTAGTGCCATGGAAGTGCTTGTAGGGATGAGAGATTTCCTCACCCCCCCCCCCCCCAAA